ATTTGATCGAAGGCGCTGATCTGCAGTTCTTTCTTGTAACAAAGGGATGTATTCTTTTCGCCATCGTATCCAAAACTGGTCTGCCATATATTGCGCTTGTCGCCACAATTTTTTTTCCCAACTGCGTCATTTTTATCAAATAGGCCAGCTGGAATCGAAGAAGATCTCAGCAGTAAGATATCGTTGGGCGTCAGGGGATCGGGGTCTTTTGGATCCGCAGACACCGCTGTTAAGGGGCGACTGTTGAGTATGTACTCCACTTCACATAAAAACGTTTGCAAGCTTTCGTCAGTCAACTTTTGCAGATGCAGTATAAAATCAAGAATTTTTTTTCACGCTTCTAATCATGCGCTCCCAAGCGCCACCAAAAGTTGATGCTTGCGGGGGGTTGAAAATCCACTTAACCTGCTTTTCTAACATTGCCGAATGGATTGCGTCACTGTCAGCCAAAAGGTCCAACTCTCTACTTAGCTCTCGCTTGGCACCTACGAGGTTCGTACCACGATCAGATCTGATGGTTCTTATTTGTCCTCTCCTCGCAAGGAACCTGCGAAATGCACAAATGAAGGAGTCGGTTGAAAGGCTGCTGGCAACTTCAATGTGTACAGCACGAGTGCTCAAACAAGAAAAGATGATACCGTATTTTTTCACTTGACTTCGCCCCCGGGCTACGAAAAACGGACCGAAGAGGTCAGTTCCAGTACTTGAAAATGGCGGCTCCAGAGCACAAATGCGGTCAGGAGGTAAGTCGGCCATCTTTTGTGTTTCCGGCTTGCGCTTCATTCTTCTACACCGGACACAGTTTCCGAGGACCCGTCTTACCGCGCTATTTCCTTTTAGAATCCAATACGTCCTTCGTATTTCTGAGAGGACATGCTCTCTACCTCCATGCCCTACATCTTCATGTACCTTTTGTATCAACATGTCGACGACCCTCCCTTTTGCCGGAAGAATAACAGGGTGTTTAGTGGTGTGCTGGGAAGAGGAGTGCCGCAACCTGCCTCCTACGTGGAGGAGGCCGTCGTGGATATAGGGGTCCAGTCGGTAAATGCTGCTTGTTCTACGCAAAAATTCGGAGCTTAAATCAGTCAGTTCTTGCTGGAACGTTGTATGCTGCTCGTGTTTGAGAATGACATGCTCAGCTTCTAAAATGTCCTCTGGCGCAAGGCGACGATTATCACTGGTTTTCTTCCTAAGGTAAGAGCGTATGCGGAGTAACCAGGCGACCGCTCGTGTCAGACGTTTCCACGACGAAAAATAATTTATGCATCTACGTATAGGATGGACGTTGTCTGCAGCATTATTTTGTAACATGCACGCGGCCGTCGTGACCTTTTTCACCTCTGGGTCGTCATCTGGTAGATAACTATCAACGCAGTTCTGTTTTGGTAGATCTCTCGTCTCCCAGAGGAATTGCGGGCCATGCTGCCACTGCATATTCTTAATAAAAATTGACGGGATAACGTTTGAGAAGCTGAGCTTTGGAAATTCCGAACGAAAAACGAAGAAAACGAACGGAAACGATCGAGCTTCCCATCGAATTGAAATACCGAATTCGTACGAAGGATCGAACATAAACTGAATATGTCATTGAACGGTTTTCAAAACGTTTTCAACTCTGGAAATATCACCGAGAAATGGTCACGTGAATGAGAGTTCAGATAATTCAAAATTTGTTTCATGTTTTTATTTGCTTTTACTTGTTCGATAGATATGGTCGTTTTTTGAATTGATTTGACTTTTGTTACCCGTCTAGGCGACTTCTGTTACTATTAAAACCAGTATCCAAATATATTGCGTTTTCATTTCAGATGTTCTTTTTGTTATTGTTGGCCTACGGCGGTAACAGTTTTAATACGTAACATTGTACAGATAACAGTTCAGTAACCTTCGTTTATCGAGATACCTTAACCATGGAACATTTGTGCCTGGCCGATCGTGCTAAATTAGACCAGAAGATCATGGAAGCCCTTTCAGAAATTCTTGAAAATTCAAACGTTATTATGTTTATATAATTTCTTCTATAGTTATCGATCCGGTTTATCTGTTTCCCGTTTTAAACGAAGTAAAATTGGCCATCCTTTCTTTTCATGCCCATGTCCGTGCGGTGACTCGGTCATGCCCTACTTGAACTTTGTCATTAATGATCCCTGGTAACCTTCATTCAAAACGTTCCTGCTTTTCGTCATTTGCTACGTGTTTGGAACATGTGTTAGTTGTGCTTTTTCGGTCAATGTTTGTTTAATGTGGCGCAATTAATAAGCTCCTCTTTCCGTTTCTCTACACCGCCTTTTTAGCGAAAATCCTGTTTCGTTGGGCACTGTCCTCACTTCCCATTTTCATGTTAAGCGGTATGCACAAATTTACCAACTTGTATGGCTCTATCTCTGTTTATTCTTTAACGCGTCTAAATTTACCGTACCCCTTTGAATGCTTGGTACTAACATATTTTCCCCGTTAGCAATCTTCATCGTGCCCTGTATTTCATTCCCCCTATCTATCTGACGTCCCTCTCCGTCCCACAGGGCTGACCATGTACTTTGGCTACGGCGTGCACCACGCGGTGGCCGGCCGGCGGGCGGCGGCTGAGACCACGGCCCTGGACCAGCTGCCACCCTACTCAGACACATCGTCAGATCAGTCGGGAGGCTCCGAGCGGCATCGACTCATCGACGCAGACCGGTAGAAGGAGGAATGGAAGGGGTGGGGAGTTTAGGGAATTGGCAGTAGAAGTTCGCGATAGGAAGGGGTGAGGAGGAGATGGATGGTTGAAGGAGGGAGTGGAAGTGCTGAGGAGTTCGGGAGCGTAGGGTGGTGGTCTCACGTGATAAGAAGGGGTGAGGAAGTGTGTGGGAGGAGATATGAAGTTAGGCGAGAAGAGGCCACTGTAAAGCAGAGCTTGCGGAGGAGGCAGTTATGACACAGGAAAGGACGTAGAAATCGGCAGTCGGTGCCAAAGACGATAGGGCCCTGTCGTTTCCCCACAGGGAGACAATCGGTAAAATTCATGGTAGGACAGCACACACCAGCTAGATGTAAAATAGGAGTATCAAATTTTGAAATGTAAGCGCTACAGCGTATATACAAGCGTCCTAGATGTGACGGGTTAAATCCAGGGATCAGTCTAGAACAAATATATCGTATGCTTTATAAATGCTATGAAGATTTATATAAAGCATATCGTCTTATGTCTGGTTTAGTCTTGCGTGTTTGTATTTTTATGCCATTTAGTTTTCACGTTTGTGTAGCTTGCCCTCTTGATACTGAGCGGTCGACGCCAGTTTTATTGATGCTTCGATATTACACTGGCGGAGTTTTGACACCATCTGGAGGCTGGCAGCGGCCCTCTCGTGGCGTGCCCACCCCGCTACTGCTGGGTGTTGAGCTTGGGAAGGATAGTGGGCGGGGGTCCAGGCGTGCGGAGCACACCTCGCTCTCCACGACCCTCCGCCTCCAGAGGCGCCGTGGGTGGCGTTCGTCAGCGTCACATCTTAGAGTGTGTGTCTGTCCCTGGCCCCTCTCCCGAGCGCGCCCCCCGCGCGCCACCACTGGGTGGCCGCTACCACGAGCACCTCCGCGGAGAAGGCTAGGCAGGGAAGGTCTCAGTCGCTACTTCATCAACTGTGATTGTATTTATAATTTGTGATGGTACTTATGATTTAAATGTGCGATGCATGACTATGTTACTTATTCGTTGGGATCGATATTTATTTTAATTGGAGTTTGCTGGTTGTTCGCACAAAGGTTTATACTGAGCAGTTAGTGGGAACTTTTCGCGTCTATTCTATCCATTTCATGCCCGTCTCGGAAGATATTTCTGGGTATGCTGTAACGCACACGGCACACACACCTGCATTGGGCTAATCAGAACATGTTGCTGTGTGACGGGTTATGAACTTCTGTGTTGTGATCCAACCCAACCATTTGCTACGACGGGGCCGCTGGCCCGTTTGCTGGGTCATAGGATGACTGAAGTAGTGGTTAATTGAAGTATTATTTTTATATTCCAGCGCCATGCCAGTTGTGATGTGTTGGCGCGGCAGAATCTCGCAGTATTTTATTTGTCTTCTGCAATGTCCCCTTGAGTTGAGATCTATAGACCACCTTTTCCTGCGTTCGGCTTTGAATCATGTCGACTGTGTGCATTGATTTATATTGTTCACGGTCGCGACCGTTCGTATGCAACTACAACAACGCAGTGCTTTTCGTTTAGCATTTTAATCAAAACAATATGCATCAACCGCCCAATTTTAATTTCTCGCACAATGTTAACTGCCAACGATGGAAGTCCGTGTATTACCGTAGATAGTAGATACCGAGCCAAGCGAGAAAAGGGGTCGATCCTCAGACTTACAACATCACAGAAACTGTCAAATATCAACTGCCGCCGAAATAACGCGTATTGCTGTAATTCCTGTTACCGGCGACTGTGTGCTGTCATATTTATTGATGTGCCGCGATACGCCCCTGCGCCAATGACGTACTTCCGTGACTGTTGAGACGTCATATCAGTGTGGTGACGTTGGTGATGACGCCACATATCGTCAGTGTGCCATGTTCTGTCAGTGTTGTGGTCCGGTGACGGAGCTCGCCGTGCTGCAGTGGACGTAGACGCCCCCCACCGCCGGCAGGGAGTGGTCTATTTTATTAGTGTCGTGTTGATTGTATGGTGTACGGTACAGTGTACACCCGATGTTGAATGTACTGGTATTGATGGTGATGAAATACATACATATGGATGTCAGCAGTATTGTCTCTGTGAGTGGATTGGAGTTTGGTAGTGAAACGTGCGGCGTTTGGACAGAATGGTCACAAAAGTTACGTGCTGGCAGATTCTGCGCAACGTCCCCGTTCTACCTAGTGAGTATAAGAGACGCATTATTATGAAATATTAAGACGTACTGTGTCTAAAATTGCATATCTGGTGAATCCGGCACCGTGTAGTTATAAAGCCAATCGCTTTTGTTCTCTTTCAAACCGCAGCGCATACACCACGGCACTTCTCGGTCGTATGAAAATTGTATTGATATACAATAATACAGATCACACTACACAAATCACATCTGAAGCCCCCCCCCCCACACACACACACAAACACACGTCACCCAAAGCAGCCGCACAGAGTCACACGTTGTACTTCGAGCCTTGGACACATCGGCACCGGGTCAAATTCTAAACAATAGCACCAAGGATTTAGCATGCATTGTACTAAACATATCGCACAAACTACTTGAGGTCTGCGCACACCTCCAAGGCTCCCGACTCATGGGTCTTTCACTATAAACTTAACTACTCTAGTTTGCGTCCATGTCGTTGGTCCAAGACCCAAGACTACCTAGGTTTTCAGAGGCATGTTATGCCACGTACTAGCTAGTTCGCTAAGCTATTTAGTTACTACTAGGGATCTTCCGTGATATTCGTCCAGCTTCGACACCAGTTTGCCACTGGGGAACGGACATAAGGGAGTAACTCCCCTCACTTGGGGAGTAACGCCCTCACCGGGGGAGTAACTCCCTCACTACTCCTCGTCACTGCTATCTGCGATGGCGATAAACGAGGGCATTTCGGCCATGGGCGGCCGAGGCCTCCTCTCTCCCTCTACCTCCTCTTCCTCCTCTGTCTCCGAGTCGCTCTCTGCCGCTGACGGCTGCGGCCGGTCGCCCAGGTAGTACCGGCCGCGGCCGCGTGGCGGCGCCACCGGCGTGGTCTCGGGCAGCGGCCGGGCGGGTGCGGTACTAGCGGACTGACTCCGTCGCCGGTGACGACGCGCGCGGTGTGCTAGCGGACAGGAGGTGCCGCGCGGACACTCGCCCTTCTCACCGAACTCGGGGCAGATGTACAGGTGCTTGTCGGTGCACTGAAACGGAATACAGCAGACGGTTAGAAGGGATAAGCGAGAGAAGGGTACTGTGTGGCTGGCGCACTCTGTACTATAGCATCCTCCAATGAGGAATATCAGGAATTAAAAAAAAAGAAACACACACACACAAAACGCTGCACCCGTACCCACTTTTCACATGAGACACAGTTGCTAGGGGTGTATCGAACACCAGCGCTAACCGCCTTATCACAGTCGCCCAACCACTGCTACCCGTCACCTATCCGTGCTTCTATCCTCAGGATACTGAAATCCTTCTCCTCCACGCCGCAACCCCCCTCCGGGCTGGACAGGCAACGTTATCTCATGCGGGCTGCTCCCTTGGAGCGGCACCGCTGCTCCTGAGGGAGCGCACCCCGTAGCCGGGTGCAGTGAGTGCCTTGGGGCTGGGTGGCCTGTCCTTTTGGACGGGCTCAGCCCCGGCGACTCACTAGGATGCCTGCCCAGACCAATGTCTCCCCCTAATTCCTATCATCCTTCCGGCTCTGCAATGGTCTTGTCGACCGAAAGGGCCTAACTCAACGAAACAAACAAAACAAACAAACAAACTGCTACCCGTAATTCTCCACCATCCTTCCGCCCCACGTCCCCACTCACCAGCTGTCCTCGGGCGCAGAAACCGGCCAGAAACTTGGTGCAGAGCGGCGCGTCAGCATCCACATTAACATGCTGATACGGACAGTTCTCCCTGCGACACTCGGACGTCAGGAAGTGTAGACAGTGCGGCACCTTCTCCGGCCGCGGCGCGTGGTTGTAGGCGCAGCCGGGCCGCCGGCAGCCGCCCTCCTGTAGGTGACGGGTGCACACGGGTCGCAGAGCCGGGTCGTGCACGTGAGGACACTGGTCGCGCTCGTAACGCCGACACCGGCCCAGGCGGCAGAAGAAGCGGCACGGCTGGCGACTGAGGCGCAGCGGGCCGCGCAGCACCGCCAGACTGCGCGACTTGGCGCGGCTGGGGGCGGAGAGGAAGGGGTTGTTAGTAGCGGGGCGGGAAAGGGGCAGCTAGTTACGAATTGCGATTCGCCTCGTGACACCTCGCTAGGTGGCAGCACCGTAGAACCGTATAGATAGGATAGCGAATGTGGCGCACGAGTTACGAATACCGGTAAACGTGTATTTCTGTATCAGCTTCAGTGGAAATTGGGGTTGGGGCAGTTGGGGGAAGCTGATTATTATCGATTTTGATCTCTTTTATGTAACGTTTTGGGTTTTTGACCTTTGGAGTAAATTACCCTGCTATCGCTAGTGAATATCATACAGCATTTGGCTGCAGAAATCGCTATGACCTTTGACTTTTAATCTCAGTCTGAAGCAGCTTACAAAGACGCATGGCAATTCGTTAAATGATCTTGTTTCCATTATTAGAATGGATATATTTCAGGCAATAAGGTGCATATGCAATCTTTCATGTTCTAGCAATAGCATGGTATGACAATGACATGACCACACAAGTACAAAAGACAGGACTCAGACTACAACTACTAGTGGCATTTGACTGAAATCGGAAGTCAGAAGTGATGGCTGCCAACCCGATTCCACTGCTAACAGCAGCTGTTCCACTATGCTAGGGTTTCTGAGGCAGCTTCCAGCAGCAGGCTGCAGCCCTGGAAGGAAGGAACTGAGGAGTCTTGCTGCCAACCCTCAAAACCCACTTGCTGCAGATGGCTGTTTGTTTCAAGGAGGTAGCTGAAGAGATTAGAGCTACCATTAAGTCTGTTGCTGGCATGTGTGGTGCAGCACAATATGTTACATGTGTTCTGCACATGTGTCCAGCAGAGCACAGAACATATTTAGCTCATTGCACCTCACCTCAGTCACCCCCTTACTCAGCATTGAATCGACAAATGGTCTGCTTTATTAGTTACAACCTCTGCTCAGTGCTTTAGAAGTTGGTGCAGTATTGGTGGCATTAGAGGCATTGTAATCAATGATATACGTTCACAGCTGGCCTGAATTTGCACATATATCTCTTTTGTTTCCTGAACTATATCAACATCATATGATCAATGGTGTGAGAATACTACCTGGGAGAGGGAAGCAATCTGATGTCCTCGGGTGTTCATTCATACCTTCCCTTCAACAAGCCTGGGGTACCCTTAAAGTTATATTCATTGCCAGGGCCATTTATCTTTCACATATGTAACTGATAACTGAATGGAAGAATGTAGAAGTCACAAATTTTTGGTGTCACTGGTCATAAGGCTCCACCCTCTGAAGCCTTATGAATCTGAAGTGATAACTCAGAACTGAGTTTGAATTACATAGATAACATATCCCCCTATCCCCCCTATCATTGGGAGCAGAATCAGCCCCTTCTGAACCGAATACTTCCCTCATTCCCTGCTCAGTGCTCAGGCTAGTAGCTACTGCCTTTTGGCCCTGACATGCAGATATCATTAGCAAAAAGCAATGTGAAATGAACATGTCCCTTCGCCTTCCGGGGCGCCGTTCGAGCAGCTGGTTTTGTAAGTCTGTTCCATTCCATCCCACTGGTCAACAGGTCATTTGAAAGGTTGAGCGAACCCGCACTGAACTCACCGTTGGCCCGCACCAATCCCTGATCATTCTACATCGGCACCCGAGCGTCCACGCTGGTTTCTGAAGGCTGCAATCTACAGGTCTTTGAGGGCTCCACGGTGGCGTTTTGGGGCCCATCGCAGATTTAAGTTCCGACGGTAGTCAATGAGGACTTTATGCAGGTTTCCGAGAACTCCATGCCTATTTCTGAGGGCCCCACGTCGGCCTGTGACGGGCTATAAAAGGTGAATGTCTTATGCCGGCATATGAATGCTCTTAAGATCTCAGGGCGGTTCCAAAGCATCGGGCGGTACCTACCTACGTAGAAAACCGTTACGGCGAGGGTTCAGACAATGTGCCAGGAACCTTGCTCTTTCGGCGGATTGCAATATCCTTATCGGCCGCCCTTACCGCCCTAACATTTGTTGTAATCACCAATAGGCAATACTGCTTACGAAGTGCCACGGGACGCTTTGTTCAGGGCCCTTTTGACTGTGAAAGGATGTATGATGGGCTATGAGAATCATTATTCGTGATCTATGAGGAATTTGTCGTCGAATTATGTGCATTGCATTCCAATTTTGAAAGAAAAAGTATTCGAAATCCGAGGTCTCGTGAGATTAGACCGGCCGGTCTGCCTACGGAGCGGCCGCCGGATCCTACCTATAGTAGTTCAGGAAACGGCCACCAGATGTCAGCCACTTCTGAGTCACGAGGCGAATAGACGACACCAAGCGGTGACAGATGCGAGCCAGCATGATAACGTTAACAGCCTACCGAGATCAGTAATGAATATATGAACTGCATTTGTTCTTTAAGGCATTTCAGGTCAATATTGGTAAATATTGTCAGCGTTTCCAATTCACTACAGTATCTGAAACCTACACAGTAGTTACATCTGCTGCACATAACAATACAATCTCGCACCTTCCCAGACCATTCGCGTCACTCGTTCCATTATCCCAGCGCCATCCCTGCACCCTCACTGACCTGATGACCGTGCGACTCGTCTGGCGGCGACTGTCCGCCGTCAGTGTGCCGTCTGCCGCCGGTCGGAAGGTCACACCCCCGATATCCAGTCGCGGGGGCGCCGGCGTACCGCGGTCCACGCGGCGGAGGCTGCGGCCGCCGGCCTCGACACGGAACCGGGCGCCGCGGACACTGATCCAACCCGGGGAGCGGGCGGACGATCCTGCCGTGGGGGGGGGGGGGGTCAAACTTCAATGATCCGCTGATACAGCCCGGAGAACACACGAACGACCCCGTCGGGGAAGAGGGAGTCGGGAGGTTCAATGATTCACTGATTCATCCCTGAGGACGGCGGCATAACAAGCTTTTGTCTCACTCTCAGCATGATATGCATATCAAAATTAAAACATCTATGTTTTAATTTTGATATGCATATCATGCTGAGAGTACCTCAGCTATAGCTGAGGTACATACTAAACAAGAAACCCGGATTATGGCTCAACAATGCTAATGCAACGAATTGGAAAACGATTCAATTGCTTCCGTTCTCAATAATCCCCCTCCAAACGTGGATACTGGATACCGAACTTCAGAATACTACCAAATGCCCATTTATAAAAGCACCCGCAAAAAGCATACCTGTGGCAGCAGCCCCGTTCTTCTGCGTCGACTTCGGCACGGCACGCTGCAGTTTTCTCGCCGTAGTTTTGTAGAGAAGGCCTCCGATGTTAACGAACCGTGTGGAGCCCAGACGGAGACTGCCGGCACTCCTGCAGAGTAGGGTCGGCACATTCAGTACTCGTTAGGATAACCGGGACAAACGTGACATGTGCTGAGTACTTGTTCGGCCACGTTACAGTTGACCTATGTGAATGTCACCATTTACCTAATACCTACTTAAATACCTAGCGCGTTATATGCTTCAAACGGCAAGACGACACGACACCGTATTCAAAGGAAAAATTTTCAGTCTGGTAAGCTTCAACCATTCTGGATTTCCAACATGTATTTCCAGACCGTGCACGACTATATACGCGCCTCTTGAAAACATACATATGCCTGTATGTGCCTGTCCCCCAGCCGGCCTGTCCTCGCTACCTATACTCACGTCAACCGGGCGGTAGGAGTTGCAGTGATACTCTTCCTCCTCCACGTGCGGTGCTGGGACAGGACCGGCCTGACTGCCATCGCCGCCGCCGCCGCTGGTGTGGAGCGGACCAGGCGGTATCGGCTGGAGACGGCCGGACGGCCGGACGGCACAGAGGGCGACCACGAGCGAGTACCTGCTGCGAAGAAGACGGGGTTGATGGTAGTTATAGTAAAGTAATTTTGGTTTATGGTTCCGGCCGACTGATAAGTGATTGCTCCCGCGATTGTTCAATGCCTGCAGTTTCCATTAGTGCTATGCAATAAATAAAGCAAGTGACAACGTAAGCAAAACAAATTAAGTATCAATGCTTCAAGAATGCTGGACGAGCACTTCCTACCTAAGTAACTTCGTAAGTAAGGCAGTAAACAGCACACAGTGCTCACAAGGCCTTCAGACATAGCAGTCACCGCACTTATGACACTCTTGCTGCGAGTGACTGTATTCTTACCTGCTCCATTAGCTGTGTGTCTGCCGACGAGCTGCTGCGTGCGCGGAGTACTGACCACACGCACCAGCTTGTGACGCGTGCTGACCAGTTTCCTGGCGGACAGCGGCCGTGGCGAGACGGCGGCACGGTGACCGGTGGGGTGCGGGGCCGCCTCTCTGGAGCGGCGGCGCACCAGTTTCCTTGCCGTGAGCAGCCGGTAGCGGGAGAGGGAGCGCCGGCGGGTGCGGCCGCCCGGCGCCGGGACGGCAGAGGGGCCTGCAAAGGGGGCAGAGGGGCCCACAGAGGGGACAGAGGGACCCAGGGACGGGGCAGAGGGGCCCGCGGAGGGGACGGAAGAGGTAGTGATTGGAGGCACCGCGCCAGGCACTGAGGAGAGCACCACTCCTGGGAGAGGGGTGTGGATGGCTGCTGAAACTGGACCAGCTGAGGAGGGGCCAGCCAGTGACCCCGAGCTCCCCACCTTCACAGTCACAGCTGGAGTCTGTGACTGAAACTTGGGGTTGATGTGGACTGTAACTCCCACTTTTGCAGGCACAAAGTTGGGGTTGACAAAAACCTGGCTAGGCTCCTGGCTAGGCTTTTGCACAGCATTGCCACTCACTGATGAAGAACCTTCCAATGGATGTTGCTGTTTTGTTTTAGAAACTTTTAATACCAATTTTGAGTGGTTCAATTTCTCTGACTGGTCTGCCACTTTATTGAACACTGTTGGTTTTTGCCAGCTTCTTGCTGCCTTATTGACATGCACATGATTTGAGTAGAATGTGGTTGATGACTTCTTTGCCCATGGCTTGGTGAAGTTCTTTGATTTTGACTTGTGTTGATATCTGTCAAACCCTCTTTTCTGATTTTCTATTTGTCCTGAAAATCAGTCAGAGTCCAATCAGTTATTGGTCAGGTCCTCAAAACCATTACATAAATAACTAAAATATCTGAACCTAAGGCAGTAGTGAACAAAGGCAATGATATGACAGCTCAAAAAGTAGACTAGGGTCCATCAAATATTTCACTGGAAAATTACACATCACATCTGATAAACACACAAGGCATATCCACTGACCACTTCAGCTGAATAATTCCAACTCTGCAGCCCACACTCACAGTATTATCACCAAGTTTCCCTTCCAGTTTCCCAATACAACAACTGGCACTACCTAGCCTGGTGCCAGGCTGGAATTCTGCACTGGAATGTACCGAGCTGCAAACAAAACCTAAAACTTGGGCTTAAAAATACCTACAAATCCAAGCTAATGAGAAAACAATTTCAATTAAAGGTCAATAATGCAAACTGTGAATCATGTGCATATTTTTTAGACAACTCCTCCAGCACAGCACTCCAAGTTTGGCAACGTAGGTACCTAGCTAGGTGCCACTCAAGGCCTGCACCATTCCATGCATGATGCAAATTCTGCAAACACTATTCACTAACAAAATCTGTGTCACACTGCTCACCACATGAATATCTCAGTACTCACAGCCAGTACTGATGAGTGATGACAAAGCATGAGTAACACCAAATATGGTACCTATATAAATTATGACAACCAGCATAGGTACCTCATCATTTAGCTGCCCTTAAATTTGATAGGTATACTAGTCTACAATCAAAAGCAGGTACTTACGTGTTAGGTCTGTTATTTGCTTTAAAAGTACTTTTTCATTGCTTGAAGCCATCGTAAAACCGTTCATAAGCCAAATGGAAAAATACAACAAAAAACATCCACCAATCTCCCCGTGCTGGCGTGCCGCGTGACACAAAGGAAACGAATCACAATCTAGCAAGGTTTTACGAATATGACAAAGAAATATGTTTGACTCAAGACTTTGTTCTAATGACGTCATATTGACATTACTCAATCAGCGGCGCGTGTTACAGATTATTGAGAGCTAGCGATTTATTTGAGCCAATTGTATTTTTGAATTTTGTCTGCAATTTTTCATCATTTCTGCAAACACATAGGTACGACTTGAGGACAAGTATACGCTGATCAAGGTCAAGGTCACCACCTACTACCGTCGATTGCGACACGGCCTTGGGTTGCGTTGCGACACGAACACCGCCGGGCAACATACCGTGCCGGGCATTTTGCGACATCAGTTCCGAGGAGGTTTCAACGGTTTCATCCAAGATTCCTAAATTACCTACTTGATAGGTTTTAGCTAGAGCATACCTAATTGAATGAGGCTCCAAGAACTAAGAAGGACAATCAAGAGGACAATTGGCTTTGACATCAGGACTAGACACAATGAAGTCTTGATTCCTTGATTCCTTTGACACAACTCATCGCTATTCGCACCATTCACCTTCACTCAATATACCCTGCCATTCACTGTCACCACACCAGAGATCTGCGTCCCGATTCGGAACGCAGATCACTAAGCTCCCGATTGTTTCGTACCTTGCAGGTATCCAAAAGACCGACCTTGACCTAGCCGAACTGAACTGGAACTTTGAGCTGGAATAGGTAACTAATAACTTTAAAACAAGTGTTTCTCCATCATGGTAGTAGTAGGTAGTAGGTACCTTATAAGCAAACATGCATTGAGTGCCGATTAACTGTCACTCCTCTCATTGCGCTGATGTCCAATGCCCTACGATGTCAGTTGCGGGCCGTGCCATCTCCCGTTATCCAGACCGATATGCATCCGGATCACGTGATATCCCAACCGAGCGCCAGCATTCTGAGAACGGCCAGCCTGATGTAATGTAAGCTGTCCTGATCGCATTACGACGACCCGGTTGGAGCGGCCCGCTGCCCTGCACCTGGTGGCCGCTCCGGCCGGCTGCAGCGCAGCGGCGCCGTCCCCGGACCCCGCCCGGTCGATATCCCCGCGGCCCGCAGTAACGCCCCGCCCGTCCCCGCTCCGGCCACTCAACACGCGCCGTTGGGCCAGTCTCGTTTATTACCGACTCGAAACATGGTGCGGCGCGGGACGACGTGCCGACGTGCCGGACACGGTCCCCAGCGACGGGCGTCGCTGGAGGCGTGACTGACAGCCGGCGGCCATCGCAGCTCCCCATACTAGACAATACAGGAAACAAAACCGCGCCGCGCCTCGTACTATTTGAGAAAGAGCTCAAGTAAATGTGTGCATGCACTCTGTGGTGCTTGGGAGTCGCGACGGTACAAACAACCAGAGATCTCGGCAGGAGACGACACGCTCAAAAGGAATGTCAAAATAGCTACCAAAGTTTATACATAAGGTCGAATGGGTTAAAGCATCGCTACTCCAGCGACATCAATCTCAATTATCTAATCACAAAGTCGACACAAAGATAAATCAGCGTACTGCGATATGGCACGCCTTATTGGTGAAAGTGATTAGTCGAGATGGAAAATGGTAGATTCAACTCGTAAAACTACGACACAATTAGCTGCTTCTCGTACTGCTAAAGCCTAAAGATACCTATCTCACTACATCGTCGCCTACATCGAAAGCGTATACACAAAACAAGCACATATGAACAATGAGTGCGCCGGACAGGCGTAGGCGGCTGGTTCGCCTCTCCGCCACCGACTGCTAGACAAAGGACGACACAAAGCGCACCATGGAATCTGCGGACAAAACACCGATGGCCGGACCGCGCGTGGTGCCGCTGCTGGCGCTGCCACAAACTCGGTAACGTCAGCCACACTCCGGCGGCGCCCAGAACGGCGCGCGCGGCAGCTATCTGTAGCTCGAGACAGCTCCTTCCTGCTGTGCCATCCGCTTCTTCGGATCACCTGGATCTTCGACTTCATCCCTCCTCCTCCCTAGACGAGGGAACTGCCAACGCACGGCGCCTACTTGCTTTCGAAATAGCGGTACGTCGGATTCTCGTATCCGTTGACCTGCATCTGCGCCAGGTGTCGTTCTTCGGGCGTCACCGTCTGGTCGACTTCGATGAAGCCCTGGCGTTGCGGCGCGCGCTGGCGGCGGCGCACCGCCCACGCGGCCGCCACCAGTGCCACGGTCAGCGCCAGACTGGCCAGCGCCACCGTCAGGTAGAGGCCGCGGCCGCCGCTCGGCGAGGGCACCTCGCCCACCACGCGGAACGTCGCCTCGCCCTGCACATGCTCGTGGGTGCGCACGTGCGCCACGATGGGCTCCAGGCGGTGTTCGGGCAGCGCCGCCGGTCGCCGCTCTACCTCCACGTCGATGTCGATCCGGTTGGCGTCCTCCGAGTTCCAGATGGGGTCTGAGGCGGCCGGCAGTGTCTCCCCACGCGACGCTGTGTCGTCAGCGTCGATGTAGTCTTCGTCATCGTCGTCATCCTCATCATCGTAGTCCTCATCGTCGGCATCATCGGCCTCGTCCGAAGATGTGGATGAAGTGGAGGTTGAAGTGGTTCTGGGCTGCAGTTCTTCCGGCAGGGGCAGCATGCTCCTCAGCTCGGCCGACAGCCGCGTCATGTCCACCAGGAGAGCATCCTTCAGGTCAGGGTAGTGGTCCAGCATCTGGAGACTTTCATTGATCATGCGGTCAACGTCCTGGAGGTGCTCAATGGTGGCATCCCTCTGGTTTCCAGCAGAGAGCCCGCTGCTCAGCAGCAGATGGTTGTAGTGGGAGATGGTGTGGTGACGGTCTTTGTGCAGAGCCCTGATCAGGTGGGTCAGGCACTTCCGCACAGCAGCAGTGGACTGAGGTTTCTCATTTAGTGACTTGACAAAACACTTCATGCCATCCTTCTTCCTCTCATTAATGTGAGCAATGATCCTTTGCTGGTGCAGATTAACCAGCTGATGCTTCTCAGCATAGCCCTGATCTTTGAGGGCATTCATCATCCTGTTGAATCTCTCAGTCATCTTCAGTTTGAACTTGTCAGCCTTCAGTGGGTTTTTGTACTTGATCTTCTGGTACCTTTCCTCAAGCTCTGTCCACTCCTTCATAATCTTGGTGATTTTCTTGTGGTATGACGTTTCCAATCTCCTCTCAGCTGCCTTGAATGCATCATGCTCAATGCGAGGGTCAAACTTTGTGTAATATGGATCTCTCGTGCTCCTCTCTTCCATTTCTGGTTCTGATGTAGCACTCTGAGTCTCCTGCTCCACGTCGGCATCAGTCAGCATTGGCTTCACGGTTTTCCTGTCACCCCTTGGGCAGCATACAAACTCAGCACCATTGAACACTTCTGAGCCACAGGGATATTGGGTCAGAATGCTGTATAGTCCCATGCCATGATTCTTGCAAGTTTTGTTGGCTGCCTTGCTCCAGCTATGGAAGTTCTTGCAAAGTGATACATTCTTTAGCTGATCGAACAGGCATGTGTCAGGCACAGAAAGAGATGGAGCTTCAGAATTCCCTTGCAAACATTGGAATGGCTGCACCCAAAATGATCCCTGGCACTTCTTGTGACCAACCTTGCACCAGTCTTCGATCAGATGGGAATGTGTTGACTGAACCACGTTCAGGAAGTCAAATCCTGGATAAACCATCTTGCAATAATCCAAAATATCACTCTTGCTTTTCATACACCCTTTGTTGTGCTCTAAATCAGTGACCCAGCGCCCTGATTCATCCATATATTGGTTGTGATACTTTGCGCCGTTTTTGTCACACATCATAGCCACCTGTTTTTCCCATCCCACCTGCGTGGCATCTAGGCTTGCACCAACCGCTTCAATGTAGCCATCACTGCACTGAACCTTCAAACAACACAATATAGCAATAAATGAGAGGTTTCTCCAATCCATTGTGCACAAATTTAGCACAAACCACTGGCCTCTCACTGCAAGCGGAAACACCCAGAGAACTGGTTTTAATCAAGGTTACCGAAGTAGATGAGATTGATGACTTTCTGCAGCTGATTTAAAGCCTATGACGTAATAAACTGCAAAGTTCGTTCCCAGATTTTTCATGTATTACTTGAAAAGTAATTGTTGTAAATTGATAAATGAAAAATTTAAAAAAATTTCTAAATTACAAAACCCTTGCAATTCAAATTCTATCCATAGCCATCAAATTGAGCTATCAGGATTTGAGCGATTCTCGAATCAAAATCATGGATTGAGATACGTCATCAAACTTTATTGCCTTCATCATTAGTAGTGATGCTTCGACCAATTTTGCACGCAAAAATCAACAAAACTCGCTTAGGATACAAATTAGGTACAAAATAAAGGTAGTGACTTGTGAGATGCGAATATTTTATTCATTGCATTCATTGCATGATTGTTTGTTGGTTATTCTTTTGTAATGATTGATAAGTTTCAAAACAATTACTGAAACAGATCAAAACGTTTGAAAGTTAGGTATAGTGGAAGAATTTTGTTTTCTCTCTGTCTCAGGTGTTTGGGTCAAAATTCGAAATTTGACTGCATTTATTTGGTTATTTTTCTATCTGAGCAGCCATTGTTTTTATTGGTGTTTGCCACACATTTGGGCTGTGGGCTCCTCGTCGATGTGCTTCAAGCCCATTAAAGGGACCCTCCCACCTTCAAAAAAGTTAATGAATTGGCATGAAAGTGATGTCGCTCGGTTCAGAAAGAGCAAAAACGAATATCTACCAAATTTCATCGAAAAATATTCACCGGTTTTCAAGATATTAGACTTTTACTTTTGTTTACTTTTTGGGATCTCCGCTGTTCCTAGCGACTTTATTTGAAAGTGCGGCATTTGTTGCGCGCAAAGCAGCATATACCACCGCGTGCTACAAAACGTTTTAGTCAAACAGTTAACGGAAGTTCGAAAGCCTGATGACGTCATCAGATTCCCGTAATGGTTAAGAGATAGGGACCACGCTGGTCCCACCCTGCAAGTAAAGGGAAGAAATTTCTTGAACACCATAAAGCTGCGGGGGTTGCGACCAGGATAAATGGTGGTTTCTGAGCCTGGCCGCAAACTTGGCTATCTCAACTCAAAACTAATGTTAAGGTGGGAGGGTCCCTTTAATAATTTTTGCTTAATGCATACTACGTAGGTACCTCATTGCAGTATGCTTCATCACAATTTTTTTCTCAGGTCCTGGGAACACAGAAGAAGAGCATAACAATCAGGATGACAAACATTATAAAATGCAGGATGGTGATGTTTGGGAGAATTGGAAAGGAACTTGCTGTTCAAGGTTGGTGCCAATTTCAAGAGCCATTTCATTTTTTTACAAATAAGTGAGATCATCCGTTATGTGACTGCAATGACCAATAATTTTCACTTACTTCTGTTAGCAATGTGCAATTTACAAAACTTTGCCCATCTCCCCATGTTTCAGGCACAGAATCTCTGCAGCTATCATCAGCTCGGCATCTGTGTACCTTCACACCTGCACTAGCCACACTGAGGACCTCCCATGGCCATAGAAATTCCCTTGTCAAGCTCCACCAGACCAGCCACAGTGCAGCATTTAGTGGTACCCTCGCCACTCTCCCCCTACCCTCCTCCCAGCCTCCCCCGACCGTGTGGACCCGCGGTCTGCACGCCTCCCGGGCGCGGCTCGACGACGACCGCGAGCCCCCGCCGGCGCAGCTGAACCAGCGGCAGCGGCTGCGGCTGGCCGTCCGCGACTACGGCGCCACCGTGGTCGTGTTTCACGTCACCATCTCACTGGCCTCGCTCGGGTTCTTCTATGTGGCCGTGAAAAGGTGAGCAGAAAAGTGTTACCTCATAGATACCTGTATAGACCTCAGTATAAAGAGGCCTTTTACTTAATGGTGATAAATTCACTAAATTCACTCGGTAGATATGTGGTAGATAGATGTTGCTATTAGGCACAGTTGCTTTGTTATTTAATTTCAGTGGCACATATTCGAATTGACTGTCGATGTCCATTGCCCCGATGCTCCCATCCCCCACTGACCCCCCCCCCCCCCGCACCGACAGCGGTCTTGACGTGGTGGCCATGCTGCGCTGGCTCGGCCTCGGCGACAGTATCGCCCAGAGCAAGATCGTCACCGGCGGCAGCACGTTCGTGCTCGCCTACGCCGTTCACAAGGTGTTCGCCCCGGCGCGGATCGCCACCACTCTCGGGTGCACGCCGTTCATCGTGCGCTATCTGCGACGGAGAGGTCTGCTGCGCTCGCCGCCGCCGCGAGTCGATTGAGCGACAGCGAGCGTGGAGTGGACTGGCCGCTGCCCGTCGTCTCGCCGCTCTCCTCTACCGGTGAGGATGACAAGATTACTCTGTTGCTGGTCGGTGGGGGATGTCTCAAAGGAGGGTGTGTGGATTAAGTAAGAGTGCCCCCCCCCAAAAAAAAAACACCAGCTCCTGTCCTCAGTCGGAGGCTGATGATGCAGTGAGTGGATATGGGTTTGGTTGGGGATGATGGAGCTCATGTCTTTGGTGATTTTGTTATGCCTACATAGTACATAGCTTTGCCCCGTTAGTCACTCACGTATAAACGGGCATCGTATAAGTGTTCGCCCTGAACGGCTTGTACCGTGCATTATTTCAGAAGGCAGAGGCCAGAGGAAGTCCAATAGCGAGTGGCAGATTGCCTGCGTAGGTCGACTCGATTAGCAGATTCCGTTAACATGTGATATGTGAGAGGTTTTTGGGTGAGGAACGAAGGCCAGTATGTTTCGTTCTACCAACTGGAGAATGACGCACCTTTCTCGTTCGCTGTTTCAGAGCCTTTGAGGCCGCAGAAGCCGGTATCACCGTCACAGCTCGCTGCTCTAGTGAGCTCGGAACCGGTGGTGAATGCGGCACTCTCCCGTATGGTTGCACGGCCTGCGCGCTGGTAAGACTGGCTATCATATCCAGGCTCGTTGCGTTGGGTGCTGGAGAGACACGATTGAAGACGTACTGTGGGGGTGCCACAGCTATTTTATACATGTTCAACTGCAAGATCGGAACGATAAGTGACGGCGACGGTGGCGGTGGGGTTTATATTGTTATTCATATCTGGTTGATTCAGTTGTCATATCCACCTATAGTATCAACATCGATTTATGGGTGATTTCCTTGACACTTTCTTCCGATACGATATCTCCGTTTAACATAGTGGAGCAGAAGTATGGCCAAAGATGAATATGGCTCTTTATGGTGATTTGTGTGCTCGAGTGTCCTTAGTACTTCGGTTTGTTTTGGATTTTCAGCTTTTTATCGATATGCCATTCGCAGTATTGGCTGCAGTAGCATTTGGAGGAACACCTTGACTAAATATGCTAGAGTTATCACTGGCGATTCGAGTGGTGGATGTGTAGCTTGTGATCGTTTTGATATCGTTGTAATATACTACAATGAAGCTTACTGGCGGTCTATTGGTGAGTGCTGAAAAATGAATGCTATACATTTTCTTTGGTCGATGTATGGGTGATTTCCTCGACACTTTCTTCCGATACGATATCTTTGTTGGTGGTCGGACTGAGTTACCTCCAGTTTGTTTCGCCGCTAGTTCTTGTGCTCCAATCGTAATGCAAGCCCTTCCATTTTGTTGAGGATTGTAAAAGCGCGTCAGCGACCTGGCCCAGGCGCGCTGCCTGACACGTGCGTGGCTGAAGGTGACTTTGGGGTGGAGCAGTCCCGCCTGGCCATCTGGTGGTGACCTTTGAAAGTACGATTTTAACCTCTCCGGTGTCACGTGGACAAGAAGCGAGGGTGGGTCACCGCGCGGCGCCCGCGCTCATTTGACGTCGGGCGCTCGCGGTGTTCGCCCGCTTTTCGCTCCGCTCCCGTTTATTCACTATGACTCCCGTCAGCCAGAACTTTGGTTCGTTTTTCGTTCGCTGTTGGTCTTGGCATTCAGCCTCCCGTTTGTTTCGCTCGTAGCTTTGGTCATAGGTCTGGTCCCGTCAAAGGTTCCGTTATAGACTCACTGGAAGGTCGGTCATATAGGGAATTTAGTTTCGTGGCTTGGATTTCAGATTTTGGTTTGGATTCTTCATCTCAAATCGCGCTTTATGTCTGTTAGTGGCTGTGGCGCTCCGAAGCTTCTTCGGTCGTTCAACCCGTCTGCGCTCCGTTCCCAGGAATAGGATTAATGACCTCTGTGTCATGGTATCTCGTTTTGCGGCTGGCTCACCTGGTTTACTCACCTGGTTGGATTTCCTCGCTGGCATTTTAGGGTCGGGCCATTATGGAAACATTGAACAGTGTATGGAATAGGCCTTCCATTGTCTCTACGCAAGAGGT